GTAATGCAAGCAATAAATATTTACGGTGTGTAAGTTATTGGTGGGCTCGATAGATGATCACTTGATAACCGACGCATCTTCACTTTCAGCACAAAAGTACTAATTATTTCTCGCGCGAGGAGCGCGAGCACGCGAAGTTCGCGTTTAATTGCGCGTGATTTCCACGCGTGATCTCTACACAACTATTTTATTATCACTTTGTGTACGCGAACATTGATTATAAACATACCACTCGTGTTTAGTAAATAGAGACAGCTGAGGCGTCACTTAAGAATGTTAGAGAGCAGAGAGTGCCCTCGGGCGTCGAGCAAGCCAAGTTGCTTTCTAGGGAAGAATCAAGAGAGCTGCTCTCTGATGCTTGACTATTAAAAGGCGACTCTGTTGCTTGACTAAATAAATTCGGTCCACTGAATTTATATTGGTGTTGTCTTGCTGAGCTACAGTTTTTTCTTTTGTTGGGTTTTGATTTCCAGCAGAAATTCAGTTCAATCTCCTGCAGCTATTTACAAACACAACACCAAACGGTTCAGTTTATTCAACAATGTGTCAATTTAAGATTTTGAGAGAAACTGATATTGATGTTGCAAGAGGTTTATGTACATCTACGTGTAATCACACTTTTAAGCCCTTGTTGTCTTATAAATGTCGTGTAAAAGGCTTATACCTTAAGAGTTTTCGATGACTATTTATAACTCTATTGCCAGAGGTCAATATCGGAATTTATGGGCCGGGCGATACACCGCTGAGAAATAAGGTAAAACACGTCTAATGTTTCCATTCACCAGTTGACACTCTCAGTAGCCACAAAGCTGGGTGCGCATAATTAACGAGTGTGACAATTAAAATAATGATTTTGCTCGCGAAAAGATATGTCTTGCTTTGAATTGAATGCATTCATGTAATTTTATATAGATGATACGAAGATTAACATGTTGTTTCTCTGAATTCTGTTTCCTTCAGAAGTGAAGATGAGTTTTTGAAGTAAACAGGTGTTAAATCTTGTCGGGTTAGAGTTTGATTTTCGTACACATTGTTATAGTCTTTGTTGCTTTTAATGCAGTTAGGCTCCAGATTGATTTGTAAGTGCGATCCATTACAAGTCGGCTGCTTTTGACACTTTTCCATTTCCGCTGAACCCGAAGGCCTAGTTTTTTCATCAGCCACTTCATTTGGTAAAAGGTCATCAGTCGCACTTTTTTTAATAACATGATATTCGCTTATAGTTTGTTCCCTCGGCGGTTCAACCGTGCCAAATCGCCTGATTTTGACGGGTTGCTGTTCTGCAACATCACACAAAGACTCCTCACTCAATTTAGCGAGTCTCGATTGTGATGGTAGCGTTAGAAAACTATTAGAATCATCAAATTGAGTCGTTAAGCTTTTCTTTTTACCATTTCCTAATGAGTCCTTGAATCCGTTCACACCACTCTCGTTGAAGTCAATCGAAATCTTTGGTACTCTAATAGGAGAACTGTCTAAACTGCCGCCATTTCTTGGCTTTAAAAATGCCTGGTTCTCCCTTAAGTCTGACGGAGAGTTAGTTTCACTTCTGGATCGGCTAAATTTTCTCCATACAAAAGAGATTGAATCACTCAAAGTGCTGAGTTTATGAAATCGTTTCTCATCCTGATCCAATTCGTCATCGGATAACCCGCTTCGTTTCCGCTTCCACAAGCTGGTAAATATTCTGTTAAATCCTTTTTGGAAGTCCTTGCTGAATATCCAGTAAATAACCGGGTTGAAAATACTGTTGGTGTATGTGAACATCCTGCATATTATCCCGGCTACGTTAGAGTACTGACTCTGGTGTCCATCGCCAAAATCCGACCAGAGCCAGAAGATCTCGTTGGGCAGCCTGCAAGTCGCGAAGACAATGACCACTGTGACAAACATTTTCGTTGCTCGAATATTTTGGTCCCTGCCAACGACACTATCATGTCGCTGCCCGAGAGTTACCTTACTTGCTTTACGCTGACAATCGCGAGCTATGTCCAGTCGACTGCTGCCTTGATTCATGTTTCCATCCACGCTGACGCGACTCGGACGAGGCTGTGGAGCGCTTTCAAACATGCCGGAACTCAATCGCAAGTTAGACAACGTTATCGTGTACATGACGCTCATAAAAGCTAAGGGTATTCCATACTGGACAACGAAGAGCACAACGGTGTAGGCTTGCCTGTAGGAAAACGCAGGCCATGTTTCTTCGCATTTCAGGCTCACTAAGTCCAGAAAGTAGATGTAAGGCGAAACCAACAACAGAGACAACACATGAATTATCCCTATTGCGTATTTCACTTGTTTGGAGCTCAGTCTTTGTCTAAAAGGGTGCATGATAACTCGATAGCGGTCCAACGAGATGAATGCTAGTGTAAGCGATGCTGAAGTCGCTGAAAGAGTCGCTAGAGGCCAAAGTGTCTTGCAGAGAACTCTTCCAAATGGCCATATGTAGTCATTTTCTTCCAAAGCCAAATCAAAGGGGATGCTTGTTATTGGTGTGACTAAATCGCACAACGCGAGGTTAAGAATCAGCAGATTGGAAGGGATTCTCATACGTTTTGTTCTGCAGACTACGAAGACAACCATCGAGTTTCCAACGAGGCACAGCAGAAGAATCAAAGAATAGAATGTGATCTTGAAAACTTTAAAGGAAAGGGCCTCCTTGATGCCAGGTTGTGTTGAGCTTTCGTTTAACTCCATTTTTGTTACTCGGAAATCTCATAAAATATAATACGGAATCGTCACGTACCGACTTTAAGCGTTGATCGATATTTGTAATATTTGCTTACAGGTGAAGAAAGCTTGGAATGCTGTTGTAGTTAATCAAATTTGCCAGAGAGAAAAAAAGCATATCATTTCGGCAAGCGCGTTATTTTCCACCCGAGACAAAGCTCTATAAACAGGAAATACATTTGCTTAAGAAATTGTGCTTTTTATGATCAACCCGAGTGTGGAAGTCAACAACTGGCTGATAAGAGATTGATTATACATCTTGCTTGAGAATATTTTGACAGAAGGGGTTTTATTATTAAAAGCGCAAATGCCATATTGATTGGGTATATCGCTGACGCCGCTCTAAAGTTCCTGTAATTATAGATGCCACTTGATTTTCTCAATGTAGATGAAATGGTCTCGGTCTCAGAGTCACTGCGGGACCCTTGCATTCACGACAAAGAAATATGTCACATGCAGCTTAAATGAAAGGTACCTCTTAGTCGGTTTCAGTCTGTTTGGTTTAAAGCCTGAATGTTTGGCACGCCGAGGTATTTATAAACATCACCAGATGTTGTCCTCTCCACGCGGGAATACACGAGTGGTGACGCGGGTTGCGCGTGCCGGCGTGTGACTCTCGAAATTAGGAAAGTATCTAAAGTCACAAAAGTTGCCCGACGATAAAATGCTCACAAATGTCTTGTATTTTACAATGGTTAGGTTGCAATTGTGTGCAGTAAGAGGACTGAAGAAGATGAACATTCAGCACCCAGGACAATCCAATTCCAAGATTTTTAACAGCGGATTTGAGAAACGTTATAGGAGTGCGTGGGTTGCAGACGATATGTTTTCAGGTCCAAAGAACAGTATCTTAAATTACAACTTGCACTTCGTTTATGAATGTTTATTACCATGATTTTGTGCATTATGAAATAACATCTAGCTATTTATTTTTCTTAAGAGGATCTTGTGTTTTGCTTCACGTCACTTGGTTGACTAATACAAATAACTTTTTTTTTTTGTTTCTTTGTAAAAGTTCAATTGCACACTGGGCATAATTTCATTTATTTAACCAATCAAATCACAAATATGCAATTATTTTTCTGCTTTTTTCCTTTTTTTTTTTTTTTTTTTTTTTTTTTCACTCGATACTGCAGTAAAATTTGCCGCAGGTTTGCATATCCGTTTTATCTATTCATGTAAATTCAGTTAAGAACATTTAAACAGATTTCTATTTATATTCCGGCTACAAAAACAAAGCTCAGCCGGCGATTCCTTGATACGTAATGGCGACTAATGACTTTTGCGAGAAATAGTCAAGATTTTGCTCAATTCTGTTGACGGTGCGAGTTAGCAGAGATCAGTTTAATCTTATTAAACGGTGGAAAATGAGTTAAGCTGGCTCAGGAAACTAATTGCGCAGCCAAGCTTACAGATACGGTTAAACGACTGAATAAATTTGGTTTATACAAAACATTTTGCTTCATCACGTTTGTGATAAAGGTGATGAGATTTGTCCATTTTTTTTATTTATATTTTTGGAGGCGTTGAAACGAGTCGGAGCGGATGTGAGTCAAAGGTGATAGATAACAACAGTAATAAAATGTTTACAGGCTGAAAACAATTAACCTTTTGTTTTGTTTTTTTTTGGAATAAGCTCTCTTATGATCATCGTTTTGAAAGGTGTGAAATGAAGATTTACGACAGCAAAAGAGGAAATTAAGCGGTTTAACATGGTCATTTTATACTCTATAAACAAACGCGGATAAAATCTCTAGATATGATGAGCAGCTCGCTAATATATTAAAATATGATTACAATTTAGTTTTAGAAGTGGCGTATTGCGCTAAGCTCAGTGGTTTCTGTATAAAGCACTTAAAGCTTGGAAGTAACCGTAGCAAGCGAGGATTCGCGGAATTGCAGTGAACTCTGGTTAAGAAGTCGCGAAAATCGTGCAATATTGATTAGTAAAATTCTCGGCATCAGATGTTTACGAGATTCCATGAAGTGACGTATTAAAGCTGGAAAATAAATTGCAATGCTGTCTTGCAAACTATGTATAAACGTTTTAATATCGTTGTAATAGACGGTTGGTTTAATTTAAGGGGATTTCTATTCATCCGCCGCTGTAATTAGCTCAGTAAAAAGCTATGTTTTATCAGTGAGACCGTGTTTTATTGTGCCACGAGTCAGATCTATATCATAAGATTAGACGCCTAATTCATTCAATACTCCGTTATTAAGAACACGTACATGGGGAATTTAGAAAACACTGTACTTTGCTCGTGTTTTCAAAATATTTCTCTTGCGTGTCCTTAACGAATAAAATTCCCGTCAAGTTCATTACGTGCGTTGTCAAGGATTGATTTTTACCAATTTGAAATGACTACTCCAGAAAAAGTAGAAACTACAGTAAATAAAATCCACTTCAACACTAGGGCTTTATTTGAGCGTGTCTGACTTTTTTTCTTTACGCTTCCTTTGTACCTTCGCAATATCCTCACTTATTTTATAACAAAACAAAGCTTTATAAGCCGAGCAGTTTGTTGTTTGGTGGATAAAAGTCTTCTTTCACAAAAGCGGACGCTTTTTTGAGTCACTTGTGCTGCCACGTGTTAGGAATTCGTCATAGTTCTCATTGCTGATTGGCTACTGAGCAATTTCTCCGTTGACGTCATGTTTCCTTGAATACGTCTCAGCTCCTATTTCAAAAAACATCACCTTTACTGCAAAGCTTTTATTTCTTCAGCTTTCAATTTGTACAGTCACTTGAACATTTTTTTCACCCTCAAGGCTGATGAAAAATCCATTGACGATGAATATGTACGGAATGCACAGGATAAAATCTTGATTACAGACATGCTTAGCAGATGGGGAAAAAAAAGGGCACTGAGATTTATTACGCACAAAATAACGTTCTAAATAAAAGGTAATGTTGCAGATGGAACTTTTGACCGAGGTTAGCAAATGACATCCACTGTGATAAGGACATATTGGTTGTCTCCTTGAATCAGTACAGCGATTTAAACGGCTAAAGCGATACATTGTCTCGCCAATTTTTTTATTTTTATTTTATTTTTATCTTTTTTTTTTTTAACAGTGTTTTCGGATTAACTTTTGATTTTTTAAATTCTATTTTCGGTGGATTTCTTATACAGAATATATTTTCTTTCTTGTTTTCATTTTTACAAGCAAAAAAAAAAAAAGATTCGATAGTTATTTACGAAATCACCCCGTTTGTGGCGTCAACTATCTGCAAAGCGTGACCTACTTGAGGCAAAAATTGATTTTGAAAAGGCGGCCTATCAATTATGAATGAGTCGATCTACTAAAAGCGTCTCGTCATTTTAACGCCATTGTATTGCAGTGATAAGGAAGTTTTATTTTTTGGTTTGGATCTCTAAACATGTTACTGTTCGAATTAGTTTCTCTCGACGTACCAAACATTAAAATTCAGAGTGAACTGTCCGTAAGTCATATTTTCCTTCTTAAATTCCTGGTTTCACTATAAGTAGTACTGCAAACCTGGAAATAAATTAAAATCGCTGCCTGTTATCAATTGGGCTTTGAAAAGTGTTTTGTTTTGGTAACCCTTAAAGTGAATCAATTTGATATTAGATCACAGTTTTTTTCAAGCTGATAAAATAGTTTACACAATTGAGCAGTCTTGTTTCTCCTATCATTTAGAAAAACATATTGATCATACTGACTTACCACTTGAGTAACCTGGGAAAACGTTTCAAAGATACTATTTTTATTTATTTATTATTTTTTGAATGTATAGCATCTCCGGTATTACACACTACCAGAGACCTCATTCTAGACATGCGAGCTTGAAACATTTTAAAGACAGTTCATTTACTAAACGGACAAAAGTTCTCCAATTATATTGTCATAGTCCTATTAAAAGAAGATATTGTACCATTTTCTTTCGTGGTAGTTTTAATTTCCCTTTCAATTAATTATTTTACGTGATTGAACGACATGAAGAAAAACACTCGCCTGGAGCTTTTTACAACGTTTATTTTATTTTAATTTTTTTTTCTGTGTCCTCACGACGTCCTTCAGTTATCTGCTTTCTGATGATAACAACACCAGACCAAAGTGCGGTTAAGGCTTTGTTACTTTTTAATTTGGCATATGCAAAAGCGTTGGGACATTTTCTGGCCCTAATTTTCAAGTCATATGTTAGATGACTCCTACTGTGTTGAAACAACGCGCCGAACTGTTTCTTCCAGCGGAGAAGTACGGTGTGACTTCTGTAGCAAGCATTCCACAAACGTTTACTCACGAGAAGGTATTTGAGCCTCCGAAGTGGAACTTTGGAACTGGAAACTGAAAGTGCATTCTCATCTTCAGCTATATAACCTACACATACGTATACTTTTTAAAGCTGGGACAAAGCCGCGATACTTTTGGCGCGAATTCAGTCGCGTCACTTGTTTTCTAAATTCCTGCTGGGAAAACCCACGCGCTGGGCTGCGGGTCATTTGTTACGATTATTTATACGAACAAGTGTCATTCCATTGTAGCAAGCATTGAAAATATCTGTCTCCGAGAGGTCTTGTTATTATAACTCCAAGGTGAAATATATTCCATGAGTTGTGGAACTTTGAACTTTGTCAGACAACAACAGTTTTCTCTCGTCAATAGCGTCTGTCATTGCGTTTAAATGAACTGATTGTTTGCCAAAAAGCATGTTTCTCTTTGCTGTCTTGCAGCTTGTTCAAAGCATCTTTTGAAAACAAAGTTTGGAAGTTTAAAACGTTGTTGAAGTAGAACTGATCTAATGAAGTTAAAGCCTTGTAGTGTAAAGACCTCACAGAAATCTTTGTTAAGGTTCGATTTGGTCCAGTTCACCCAAATTTAATAACAACTGTGTCATCTGCTGTCAAAGATTATTAAAACAACATATCACCAAAACATTTGAACCAAATATTTTACTAGATCTCTGTTTCGATTTCGAAGCAACTTCATTAGATATGTCACATCAAGGCATCATATTTTGACAGCGTCAATAAAACTTCCAAGTTGTAACCCGTTGAATTCACCTGCAGAGTTGCCTGTAGCCACGCGGAGATACCTAAATTATTGAGTGCTGGCAATTCTTTTGCTTTTAGCAGCGGGTCCAATATGCGAGTAATTTACTTGATGTTATTGTGCCTCGCCCTCTGAACGATTGATTATTCTTATAATTTCCGTTAAGATAACGGGCTGTTGCATAACACGATAACTGCGAGCGAGAAATGTCCTGGGCTGTTGGCGATTTCAAGGGCTTAGGCACGTTCAGGTAGCACAAAGCGTTTTTCGATGGTGTGACAACTTAGGATAGCTGGTACGGATCTTCAAGATTTCAACGCGACAGTTTTCGGTCGTCACCACAAGACAAGTCCTGTCGACATCTTTGTTAAGGCTTGTCTTGATCCGGATGCCGTGACTAGATATGGATTGGAACACAACTTTCAATAAAAACGCCGTAAGTGCTTTGCCTTCAGTGTACACTACACAGGCGTTTGCAGTGATGGAAGGAAATGAGAGTTCATTCAACGCTACTACACATGCAACTCCAGAGTTGGAGCAATCCCTAGATTTTTGGATCATTAAGATCGTGTTTTACTGCATCATTCTACTGGGTAGCTCTTTGGGGAACAGTTTAGTAATTTACATCATTGCGAGCAATGCACGAATGCGAACGCCGTCCAATTACCTTATCATGAACCTTGCGGTCTGCGATTTTGTGACGCCAGTGTTCAGCATCCCCTTCGACTTTGTGCTCGAAGAACACAACTACGTCTGGATTTACGGCGCAAGTATGTGTAAAATTCTGTGGCCTTTGACAACGCTGTCTTCAACCTCGGCCGCTTTGACCCTCGCAGCGATTTCACTTGATCGTTATCGCGTAATCATGCACCCCTTTAAGGCTCGCTTAACTATGGTCAAAATCAAATGTATTATTGTTGCGACGTATTTGTTTTGTTTACTAATGGTTACGCCGTACTCTTACGTGCTCGGTTTGAAAGGAAACGAGTGCCATGAGACTTGGCCCGATATTTCCTACAAAAAATATTACACGCTGAGTCTTTTCCTGGTGCAGTATTGCCTCCCTCTGACGTTCATGGTCGTCATGTATTCCTTAGCACTGAAGAACCTCTACACTACCACAGATAAGACGAGTACTAGAAAAGCAGAGAAAGAACAGGCTGAGATGAGCAGTACATCACGTAATTCTTCCACATCTGCAGAGCCAAAACTAAAAAAGGTGTCTTCCACAGTTCGTCTTGTGCGGAAGCTGTCCTCGACTGTAAGAAGAGGCACAACCGAAGCAAACAAGAGAGCGACTAAAATGTTTCTTGCAATAGTCGTAGTTTTCACCATATGCATGTTCCCAAATCAAGCGTTGTGGCTATGGGCGGATTTTTCCAATGGCGCTGACAACCCCAATTTCCTCAAGGCTGTTATCGTCTGCTGGTTGTTCACCTACTCCAACAGTGTCTGCAACCCGGTGATTTACGCCGTTTTCAGCCGGGATTTCAGAAGAGGTTTCAAACGAGCGTTCAAAAAAGCGTTCTGCCTACGTCACGGGCGCCGTCGAGTTTTTAACCCTGATTTAGTGGCGACATTAACCACGGAGTTAAAAAGTGTTGGCACGGACATAGAACGGCGAAAAAGAAAGATAGCTTCCGTAGAAGCACCTAAGTTATATCTTTTGTAATAGTGAGGGGAAAACATTTCCACATTGCAGAATCGCGCACGCGGCGGGGTAGTACACCCTTTCTTAGAAGAAGACATTTCTTAAGAGTATCGAGGCGAAATTTGCGAAATTTTAGAAATATTTTAAGAAAAAAAAAACCGAGGCAGAAATTTTGAAAAGAATATAATTTTGTGATGAAAGTTGGTATGTACGTCGTATACCCGCTTTAATGCCCGCAGGCTGGCTCCAGAATTACTTCAACACCATCCAGACACCAAATACACTGGAAAACAGAAATGTCATATGCTATAATCTAAGAATATTCACAAGAATATTTTCAACCTAAAATCAGCAGAAAAATAAGAATTCAGCCTC